ATATCGGTATCGGCAAAAGCCAAAGGTGCGGCATCGGTATCGGTATCTAAGTGAAAAAGTGGTATCGGGACATCCCTATCCAAAACATAACTATGCAGGAGGTTCTGGGGCCCGCAAATCGACCTCGGAGAAGGCGTACCTGATAAAACGTGAGCGTCCGACTCTTCTTTGCCCGATGTGTTTTTGTGTGGATTTTTTTTTTTATTGATTTGTTTATTGATTGATTTATCTGTTTATTTTTTATTTCTTCCCCTCGTGTGTCCACAGGTCGCCAACCACAAGACGAACATGGCTTTCGGGTCGGCCCAGATCGTTTTGACGGAGGAGTTCAGTTGGGTCAATCGACTCCTCCGAGTCAAAATCAGCTGCCCGGCGGACCCTCCGCTAAGTTCCTGTTTTTCACTTCGACTTTTTCCTGTCGGAGACCCCTCCGCAGTCCTGCCGCTTGACCAAAAAAGCCCTGGTCAGCCTCCGCAGGGAGATGGGGGCGCTCCGCAAGTCTCTGAAGAGGGGTGTGGCCGTCCACCAGACGCAGGTCAAGGAGGTCAACATCATCCGAAAGCCCACCCTCCGCAAGTGCAGGGAACTCGCCGCCAAGGCCATCCCGGACCTTTTGAGTGAGTGGTCTTTCGTCTCCTCCCCGCGCTCTCACCCGCCGGCCGACGGACCTTTGAACTTTTTGCCATTCTCTCGTCTTTAGCCCTCCTGGAGAACGAGCCCACCCAGAAGACCCTGTGGAGGTTTTACGAGTACTTTGCGGCGCTGCTCGCCTGCGTGTACGGCCACAGAGGGGGGGTTCTCCAAAACATAACTATGCAGGAGGTTCTGGGGGCCCGCAAATCGACCTCGGGAGAAGGCGTACCTGATAAACGTGAGCGTCCGACTCTTCTTTGCCCGATGTGTTTTTGTGTGGATTTTTTTTTTAATTGATTTGTTTATTGATTGATTTATCTGTTTATGTTTATTTCTTCCCCTCGTGTGTCCACAGGTCGCCAACCACAAGACGAACATGGCTTTCGGGTCGGCCCAGATCGTTTTGACGGAGGAGGAGTTCAGTTGGGTCAATCGACTCTTCCGAGTCAAAGATCAGCTGCCCGGCGGACCCTCCGCCAAGTTCCTGTTTTTCACTTCGACCCCAAACCCATGCAAAAATCTCAATTCCTACTTCCAAGAGGCCTGGAAGTCCATGGGCCTTCCCGGGTGCCCCACCTTCACTGACGTCCGCACGTCCATCGCCAGCCACGTAAGCATCCGTCGCCGCTTCTGGCATGCATTTCGGAGGTCCTCCGCCGGTGGCGGCATTGGTTTTTTTCTCTCTCTGTCTCTGTCCTCCCAGATAAAATTCACCCACACCAACGACGACCGGGTCAAGCTGTCCAAGTTCATGTGCAACGACACCAGGACGGCGGACAAATTTTACGTTGCCAACTTGACCCCCCAGCAGGCCATGGAGCACCGGAGGCTCTTCGACACTGCCCTGGAGGGCGAAGAGAGGGGCTCCCCGTCAAAGCAGCCGACTTCAATCAAACACAAGTGGCCCGCGAAGGGGAAGGAGCCCCTCAAGAAGAAGAGGAGCGCTCCAGAGTCCTCGGACAAGGAGATGACTTCGGGCAGCACGACTCCAGAGGCGACCAAGAGCCCGGAGTACCAGGAGTCTGGGACGTCCAGCCCCGAGTCCAGTGGGGTGAGTTGACTTTTTCCTTTGACTGCAGAGTTACAACATCCCTCTTGCGACATCACAACCGATGACTTATCATGTCTTTGTGTGTGTGTGTGTGCGTGTTTTTCCTACTTTGCGCAGCACGAGGAGCAGCAGGATGAGGAGGAGGAGAAGGCCGAGTCAGGCGCAGAGGCGGTGGGATCCCAAGACGAGGAGGAGGAGACGACCACCCCAAAAAAGTACCCGCGGCGGAGAGGGAAAGCTACGGTGCTCCTGACTCCCCTGAAATGTTTGGCGTCGACTCAGAGGCACGTGTCCCCGCTGAAAGTCAAGAAGGCCATCTTTTCCCCCACCTCCACGACCCTCGTCGGCCTGACACGCCAAAAGGAGGTCTCCAAGAAGGTCAAGGAGGCCATTAAGAAGCGCAGGCAGCGCAAATAGACGTTGAAACTGAGTTGACGTTTTTTAGACGTCGAGTTCGTGTTCATGGTCGCGTTTTTTCCGAGTGTTCGTGAGTGTTTGTTCCGCGAGAGATTTTTATTCTTCTAATTTTAAACTGTTCAAGTGTTCAAGTGAGTTAAAGTGTGTTTTTTTAGAAAGTGTTTGTTCCGCAAGAGACTTTTGTTAAAAAAAAAAAAAAAAAAAAAAAGTTCAAGTGTTCGATTTTTTAAAGACTTTGAGTTGTTCCTTTGTTTTTTTTACCCATCACCATTTTCATTTAAATTTCACTTTTTTCCTGTATATTTGTTCAAAATAAAGTAGTTTTTGTTGTTTGGAATTTTAACTTCTTGTCTGTCCTTTTTTTCCAAGTATTGTTTAGATAATTCAAATTTATTTAGGCGCTTAATTAAAATGGTTTTAAACTGGTCAAAGTGTTAATTGATCTGTTCGTGTAATCAAACCCTGTGTAATTAGTTTGTTATAACACCTATGTCTACTGACAGTGTCCCCAAACAGCCTATAGGGACGCTGTCAAATAAGTTACAGGTGGGCACAAAAGAGTCCCACCCGCAACTTATTTGACGGGACCTCAGGGACATCAGATAAGTTGCAGGTGGGACAGCATCCCACCTGCAACTTATTTGATGGGACCGCTTTAGGCTGTTTGTGGTCAATGCATTATTAGGTCATAATTCATGATTGTTAGTGGTTTATTACTAAAAACTTGCAGCACAGTGGACAGGGCAGACAATGCAACATGTTGGGGTACTTAGCATTTCATGATAATGCATAACTAGCCTTAAAATGACATGTCCACGGACAGCTTACAGGGACCCTGTCAAATAAGTTACAGGTGGGATGCAGTTTTCGACTTTGAGATTTTCGGCCGGTGAATCCTGGTCAGGAATTGGGCATTTCAACACATACGGTGAAATGCCCAATTCCTGACCAGGATTCACCGGCTGAAAATGTCAAAGTTAGAAACAGCATCCCACCTGTCACTTATTAGACAGGGTCCCTGTAGGCTGTCTGTGGACAGCATGATTTTATGCAAATTATGCACAATTAATGGTCGTAATTTACACCAGTGTGTTGCGCTGTGTCCACCGAGTCCTGTGCAGTAGCTTTGTCCACAAATGATCATTTCATGGATGGAAATATGACCTTTTAAAGCACTGTCCACAGACAGCCCACAGGGGCCACGTCAAATAAGTTACAGGTGGGATGCTGTTTTCGACTTTGAGATTTTCGGCCGGTGAATCCTGGTCAGTAATTGGGGATTTCAACACATGTGGTGAAATGCCCAAATCCTGACCAGGATTCACCGGCTGAAAGTGTCAAAGTCAGAAACAGCATCCCACCTGTAACTTATTAGACAGGGTCCCTGTATACTGTCTGTGGACAGTGCTTTAAAAGGTTTTAAAAGGACATGCCGAGCGGGCTAGGTCGAGACACGCCGAGTTTATTTTTGGCTATTTTTTATGCACCTCTCTGTGTCCCATTGACTTCTATGGGAGCATGTTTCTGCCAGGGTCAATTCAGCAGTCAGTATTAGAGGGCCTACTGGGCTCAGGAAGCATCCAGAGCCACGGAACTCTGGGGCCCTATCCGGGGACCCGTGGCGGTCGTCTGTGCCGAATTTCGAGGTTCTGCGACCTTTTGACCCCTTTGGGCGACTGTTTGTTTGACGTCCCATGTGCAACTTATTGCATGGGGCTGTTGGTGGCCAATTAGCGCGAAAAAAAGTTGTAGGGTCGCGGAACTCCAGAACCCGTCCCAGGGGCCCGTGACGGTACGCATACTTCAATTTCGGGGCTGATCGGACCTTTCTTTCCCCCCCTCAACGAGCACATGGTCCGATCAATGGCCGCCCTCCTCACACACAGAAAGGCATATAGTCAGAGTGAGTCAAAGGGAGGAGAACTTTGCACCAAAAAAACACGCGCTCGGGACCGATCTAGAACCCTGCGGTCCGGGATCTAGAACCCGGGGCCCTCGACTACCAGGGTGGCGGGTTTGGAGGCGGTGCGGCCTTTCGACCCCTGCGTTTCGGCCCTCCCACGTGCAACTTATTCGGTTCAAACTTCGTATGCGCTTCCAGGTCAAGGGGGTGTTCTTTTCGGGAAAACGAGACGTTTCGGACACGGAACTCTAGAACCCGTCCCTGGAGCCCGCGACGAGACGTGCGCGTCAGTTTGGGCCCGATCGGGCGTTTCCTTCAAACCGTGTCGCTGAAACACACGCTTAGAACCGATCTAGAACCACCAAACTCGCGATCTAGAACCGGGGCCCCCGGGCTACCTCCGTGCCGAATTTGGGGCCGCTGCGACCTTCGGACCTCTCTCGGCCCCTGTTTGTTTGATGTCCCACGTGCAACTTATTGCATGGGGCAGTTGGTGGCCAATTAGCGCGAAAAAAGGTCAGAGGGCCGCAGAACTCTAGAACCCGTCCCCGGGGCCCGTGACGAGGCGCGCGTGTTAGTTTGAGGCCAATCGGGCGTTACCTTCAAACCGTGTTGCTGAAACACGCTTAGAACCGATCTAGAACCACCAAACTCGCTATCTAGAACCGGGGGCCCCCGGACTACCTCTGTGCCGAATTTGGGGCTGCTGCGACCTTTGGACCCCTTTTGGTCCCTGTTTCTTTGACGTCCCACGTGCAACTTATTGCATGAGGCAGTTGGTGGCCAATCAGCGCGAAAAAAGGTCAGAGGGCCGCGGAACTCTAGAACCCGTCCCAGGGGCCCGTGACGGGCCGCACACGTCAGCTTGGGGCCAACCGGACCCTTCTGTCACATCGTCCACCCGAAAGACCCAAAAAACAGGTGGTTAGGGGGTCAGAATATGCACTCTGCGGCCATGAGGAAGACCGTGGTGAAGTTTGGGCATTTTGTAGAGATGAGGAAGAGGATAGGTGGTTAGGGGTCAAAATAGGCACTTTGTGGCACTTGAGGAAGACTATGGTGAAGTGTAGGTGTTCAGGGGACCCCATAGGCACTTCGTGGCACTGAAGAAGAGGATGGGCGGTTAGGGGTCAAAATAGGCACTTCGTGGCACTTGAGGAAGACTATGGTGAAGTTTAGGCGGTCAGGGGACCCCATAGGCACTTCGTGGCACCGAAGAAGAGGATAGGCGGTTAGGGGTCAAAATAGGCACTTCGTGGCACTTGAGGAAGACTTTGGTGAAGTTTAGGTGGTCAGGGGACCCCATAGGCACTTCGTGGCAATGAAGAAGAGGATAGGCGGTTAGGAGTCAAAATAGGCACTTCGTGGACAACGAGGAAGACTATGGTGAAGTTTAGGCGGTCAGGGAACCCCATAGGCACTTTGTGGCAGTGAAGAAGAAAATAGGCGGTCAGGGGTCAAAATAGGCACTCCGTGGGACAGAGGAAGACTATGGTGAAGCATAGGCGGTCAGGGGACCCCATATGCACTTGGTGGACCCCCCGTAGCGCACCGGCACCCCTAGAGGCGTCCACACAGAGCCTATGGTAATTTATGCTAATACCGGCCACTTAATATGCGATTTCGGATAGGGTCCCACTCACCATCCAAATAAGCAGCTTCTGTCGTCCATTTGGCGCTCGCAAACCTCAAACTGCTTACGCAGACAATGGCAACTTAAAGGGACTCTGTGTAGGAATTACCCCCATCTAGTGGTTAAATAGTATTTTGCATTCAAACAAATTTTGCTCTCCAGCGCCTCGCTTTTTCAAGTGCGTATTGCATCTACGGTTGCCGTTATGTACCAAAAATGCTATGACAGGATGTCTTGTAGTAACACTTCATCGAGTTTTTCTCCGGGTGAACAGGTTTGTAACTTAAAAAAAACAGCAACTTATGTGTTAACTTATGTGTACAATGTATGTGTCTAGCTGTATAAATTAATTTTAATTCCCTGTACAATCTTATCCACATAGCAAAATCACAATTTTAGCTAATTGATCATTTATATAAAAAAAGAAAGCTATAGAAAATCTTACAGAGAGCAATATTTTCTTCAATATTTTCTTACAATCATTATCTCTATATTTTTACTGAATTTATAGGTTATAAAGAATTAACTTACAAACCTTCCTTTTAAAACCTTCCTTCACAATAGCTGCGAGTAAAGTAGTCAATAGCTGCTATTCATCAAAGACCTTGTTTAACTTTTTTACCTATAAATGTTATACTGTCTATATAATAAAGTACACAACCAAGCAATGACAAAAAAATTAAGTAAGACTGTAACATTGACTAACCTGTCGAGGAGAAAGCAGGCAACTTCAGCGTCTCTTCTGAAATCTTTCTGCTGCATTAGCTCTTTCCACGGTTGAAAACGCTATCCCGATATTTAAGGCCATTGCACACTGAGTACGAAATTTTCGTATGCATATTTTCGTGTACGTCAGCCTAAAAACCTTGCACACCGAGTCCGTTGCGTATTTATTAAACCTTTGCGGGAAAAAACGCAAAAATACCAAATGGATTCGTCAAGCAGTGAGGATGATTTTTGCCCCCTCTCATATTGAAAAGAGAAGAAAGAGAAAATATTACGTCCATCCAATCCTGAAATTGCGCCGAGAGGAAGGAGTTCCTTATCAAGGAGTTGCGAATTTATCCTGAGCGATTCAAAATTTACCTCAGAATGTCAGTGGGACAGTTTGATGCTTTGCTAGCGATTCTGGAGCCACATATTAAAATCAAGACCACCAATTAACGTGAACCAATCGATTCTGAACGGAGACTGGCAGTGTGTCTGGTATGGACCAGGGGTGTATTCCAGAAAGCTGGGTTAATTAACCATCAGATTAACCCTAAACTCTGGGTTGATTAACCCAAAACCTGCTTACTCTGGGTATGTCGGTTCCAAAACACCTGTGTCGAGTTAGTTTAATCAACCTACTGCTAATAACCTCGAGTTAATGCGCGCGCCCGGTGAACATATAAAGGCATTTTCAATGGATCACCGAATTCAGGAGTCACCATGGAAACTAAGGGTGAAAAGTCACGTGCCGCGTACTTCTCTGAAGGTGAATTAGAAGTTTTAATGTTGGCTTATGAGGAGTACAAGCCCATTATCATGAAAAAAAGCAACACAGCTGCATACGCAAAGGAAAGACAATTGGCTTGGCAAAAAATAACTGACAGAGTAAATGC